GGCTGTTGGGCAGCTCGGCGGCTCGCCGGCAGGGCGGCTCGGCTGCTGGGCGGCTCGGCGGCTCGGCGGCTCGGCTGCTGGGCGGCTCGGCTGCTTGGCAGGTGGGTGGCTCAGCTGCTGGGCGGCGCGGCTGCTGGGCAGCTCGGCTACTGGGCTGGTGGGCGGCTCGGCTGCTGGGCTGCTCGGCGGCTCGGTCGCTGGGCGGCTGAGCGGTGACAGGGCCGGTAGAGGCGGCGACGTGGCCGCTAGGGGAGGGCGACGGGGCCGTAGGTGACAGCGACGGGGCCGCAGGTGGCGGCGATGGGGCCGCAGATGGCGGCGAAGGGGCCGCAGGTAGCTGCGAGGCCGCAGGTAGCGGCGGGGCCGCAGGTGGCGGGTGCGTGGCCGCAGGTGGCGGCGACGGGGCTGCAGGTGACGGCGACGGGGCCGCACGTTGCGGCGACGGGGCCGCAGATGGCAGTGACGGGGTTGCAGAGGGGCCGCAAGGGGCCTAGACGGGGCCGAAGAGGGACCGCAAGGGGCCTAGACGGGGCCGAAGAGGGGCCGCAAGGGGCCTAAACGGGGCTGCGACGGGGCCGCAAGGGGCCGAAAGGGCGCCGCGAGGGGCTGAAAGGGGGCCGCGCGAGGGCCGTAAGGGCGGCGCGAGGGGCCGTAAGGGGCCGTAAAGGCAGCGCGAGGGGCCGTAAGGGGCCGCAAGGGCGGCGCGAGGGGCCGTAGAGGGCGGCGCTAGGGGCCGTAAGGGCGGCGTAAGGGGCCGTGAGAGGGGCCACTAAGGGCGGCACGAAGGTAGGGAAGGCACACAGAGCGCGACTCCAGCAGGAGTGAAGCGCGCTCCGGGCAGGAAAAAAAATCGTGGTGGGCCCTAGGTAGCGTTCCAACTTGGGAACCTGCTCTGTACCATGATAACAAACGAAGAATGAATGCATTGAGCAGAATGAGGAGTACAAGTAGTAAACCCTTAAGTGTTGTACCACATATGAACTGCCCCACTACAGCCTACACAGACTATAGCATATATGCCTGACAAGCTAGAGGCTTTCGCAGAGCGCAAGTGTGGAGGAGGAGGGAATATGAGAGGAGAGGAGGTAGTGGGCGGCAGCTGAAGCTGCTGGCACACGGCGCAACTGGAGCAACTGACACACGGGCAACTGGAGCAACTGGCACACTGGCAACTGGAGCAACTGGCACACGGGCTTCTGGAGTAATTGGCTCCGCGGCTAACTCTGAGCGGCAGGAGCAACGGACTCACGGGCGACTGGAGCAACGGGCTCACGGGCGTCTGGCGCAACGGGCTCACGGGCGACTGGAGCTGCGGGCTTCACGGCGGCCACCCCCTTCAACCTCCCCAAACTATCCCACCCCCATTTCACACACCCCCTACTGCGCCCCTAGGTTCACTCACACCCCACCCCCTAGCACCACTCCGTCGACTCCCACACACCCACCCCCCTCAGCGGCAGCTGCAGCAGTGGGAGACAGAGGAGGAGGAGGAGCAAGGGAGACCACACACCCGCCACCCCCCACTCGCCACCCCCAAACCCTAACACAGGGCAGGGCGGGATGGCGGGTAGAGAGGTTACGCGGGGGGGGGGGGGAGGGGGGGGTGGGGGGGAGGGGGGGGGGGGGGGCGGACGCGCGGCCTCCTAGCGCGCCAAAGTAGGCGGCATAAGGGGCGACGCTCGCCCCCCCCCCCCCCCCCCCCCAGGTCGCCACGACAGGCGACGGGAAAAGGGGGGGGGGGGGGGGGGGGGGGGGGGGGGGGGCGGTGCACGTGCCCCTAGTGCGCCGCGGCTGGCGACGGGGCATGGCCGGGGCGGGGTCAGGCCGCAAGTGGCGGCGACGGGGCCGCTGGAGGCGGCGACGGGGCCGCTGGCGGCGACGACGGGGCCGCTGGCGGCGACGACGGGGCCGCTGGCGGCGGCGACGCGGCCGATAGGAGCGGCGACGGGGTCGCTAGGGTCGGCGACGTGGTCGCTGGCGGTGTCGACGGGGCCTCGAAGGGCGGCAATGGGGCCGCTAAGAGTAGCGCGAGGGGCACACCACGGGGCGTGCCGAACACAGAGTAGCAGCGGAAGCAGTTAGGTGGGCCCACAGGCCAGGAGCGTAGATGCTCTGATAGCATGTGAAAAAAAAAAATGAGAAATGAAGAAGAGGGGAGGGGGATTCACTAGCAAACATTGGGATACATATAGCAAACCCTAAAAGGGTAGTACTCTCTATAGAGTACCCCATTGCAGACTAGAGAAACATAATATTCTGACAGTCTCTTCTGCTGCCGATGTTGTCTCTGCTGCTGTTGAGTGTTGAATCGTTGCTAATGCTCTTGTTCGTTCTACCTCAGGGATGGTGTGCGAGTACCAGAAACCTTCGTGGCTTAAGTCGGGGTCGAGATCCGGTGGATGTGTCTAGGAGGTGAAAGTGACGATCCCGTCGCTGTCAGCTGTGCCGAGATCTGGGACGAAGTCGAGGACGAAGACGTTATTTTTCAGGGCTACCTTCCCGATATAGAGACCGCCCTTTCCGTGGTATAGCTTGAACTCCTAAGTTGTGCTGTCTGCTTCGAGGTGTATGCCCTTCGCCATCAGTTGATTGACGCTTAGAAAGTTGTAGCCAAGTCCTTCTGCTATTAAAACTTTCGACATCTATAGTATGACGTTTGTCTCTCGTGACTGAAGTTGAACTACGCCTTGTCGTCGTGTGCGCAGGTTCTGGTTGTTCGCGACGGTGATGACGACTTCGTGCTGAAGTTGGTATTCCCGTTGAACGATGCGACCTGAAGAGCACATATGTTGTCCACAGCAACTGTCCAAGAACCAGGTATCTTTCCCAGACGGTTCGCTTTGGGCGATGGCTGCGTACGTTGGGTTTGGTTGCAGTGACTCTCGACGTGGAGTCCTTTCGTCGAGTTGTTCTTCTGAGGAGTAGTGCGGCGGCGATTCAGTAATGCAAGAGTCGGTTAATCTTGCCATGCAGCTGACGATGTTCCTTGTTCCTTGTGCAGGTTGTCCCGTTGACGTTGTTGACGTTTGCACTTGAGTGGTGGAATTCGCTTGCGTTGAGGTGAATTGACTGCTTGAAGGTCGGAGCTGCCGCTGCGTTGACTGCTGCCGGTTAGGGCAGTGTGTGTGGGGATGACCTGACGTCTTGCAGAGATGACAAAACGGAGGTACGGGTTCTTGACCTTGGTACTAGCTTGACCGATGGTTGTTGTTGTAGTAGCGCCGTTGAGTGTGGAAAGCGAACTCAGGCAGTGACGTTTTCCTCTTGTGTTTTTCTTCTTGTAGGTCCATGTCTTGCTGTTCGTCGTGAATCTCGGTGCAGAGAGCTGCTTCGGAGATTTTCCCGTGGGCTCGGAGGATGGCTCGGGTGGAGCGCCATTGCGGACCAAGGCCGCCGATGATGACTGCGACGAAGGCGTCTTCGCAGATCGTTCCTCCGCATCGAAGAAGCTTGTCGCGCAACTCGCGACAGTGACTCATATACGCCATCCCTTTTTCGTCCGGTTTCATTTCGGCTGTTGTCAATTGCGCCATCAACCGACTCTGATTAACGCTGTCTATTGCTTGATACAAGTTCTTCATGTGGTTGTATGCGAGTTTGGCGGAGTTGCCATATCCTCGGTAAGACCGAATGTTCTATTGCTGATTCGGAGTGACGTTCCTCAGTAGGATTGTGTACGTCATCATCGACTGATACGTGTACTGCTGTTTGTCGTATTGCATGCCGTTTGTTGGATATGGCAGGGACCCGTCGAAGAAGCCGAGTATGTGCGCGCCTTCCATCATTAGCTCAAACTCGAATGACCAGGTGAAGAAGTCTTTCCCGTCAAACGGTCTTGAAGTTTGCAGTTTTAAGACATGCGCGAATTGCGACTGAACTTGGAGTGCGTCCAACGTCTTGTCCAGGTGAAGGTTGCTGGTGCGGCATTAAGCTGATGGAATCTCGCTGGGGTTCGTATCGAGCGAAGCGAAGGTAGGCTGCTGCTGTTGATTTCCGCGTGCGTAAGATGAGCCATCTAGACTCATGGGTGTCACGTTATTGTTATTGTTGCTGTTGTTTGACTGCGCAGGCGCCGATTGTTGGTGTTGTTCGTAGAACGACATGAAGGAGAAGAACTTCTCCATCATGCTCTGGTCGACACCTGCAGGTTGATTCGCAGGAGTTTCGGTAGACGTTGCCCTTGGTCTTGTTGCAGTACCCTCCTCTGTCCGTAGGCCGGAGGTGGAGTTGGAGTAGTGCCGGGAGAACCATTAAAGTAACTCCTTTCTTTCTGTGTTGCCATGCCTTCTGATGTTGTAGGTGTCTTGATAGTAGTTGAGTTTGTCCTGCTAGCTCTCATACCATGTTGGGCTGAGAAAGCCCTTAGATCTTTACAAGACTTAACTCGGGGTAGGAATGATGTAATAGTGGAGGCCTTTAGTGAAGTGTTTGAACCACCTTGCGCTGGTATGTGAGGGCAAAGTAGATTGATTAAAATTAAGGGATACAAGCTTTTATAAGAGTACCTACAAGGGAATATGAAGGGCTATAACTAATAACTGTTTTGCTGTTACTGTTGCGGTTCAATACAGTGACGACTCGGGCAACTACCTACTCAATTACGAGTCAGTTGTTTGTCCTTGCTGTCGCGCTGTATTTGTCAGGTCAAAGGTCGCTGACCTTCGACTTTCGCGCAACCTCCAGCAGTTGCTCAACCTCCGAGGGTTGACTCGCCGATGCTTCAACATGTTCTGCTTCGCTTATGACTTCGTGTTTTGACACGACAGAGGCGCTTAAGTCAATTGTTTCCAACACCCGTAACACAATTTGACCAAGGAAGGTGCACTGTCATTTGCTAAGGAGGTGCTGCTGCAGACTGCAGAGTGGAAGGTGGTGTTGCGGCATGCCCGCTATTAGGGCAGCAAGCACCACTACCAGTAGGAGGATCCTAGAATGAAGCTATAGGACAAGGACGAATGTGACGCAGACGGGATGATTGGTTGATTGGCATTCTGCAAAGCTTAGCTCTGGAGGAGTGGGGGGGGGGCAAATGGGGGGGGAAAGGGAGAGAGATGGGGACACGCAGGAGTGCAAGATTGAGGAGGAAGTGAGCGGCTGAACTGGGACAAATGGCAATGGATGCTGATTCTTCCGTTCGCGGGTAAAGGGGACGTGAGCATCAGCGAGGTATGATGGGGAGGGGAGAGAGAGTTGGTTAAAAGAGGTGCAAAGAGGGATACTCAGGGAGGAGCAGAGCAGTGACTGATACGCAGAAAGGGGTGGGTATTAAAGGACATGCAGGGAAGGAAGGGAGGAGGGTGGAGGGAAGGGAGGAGGGAGGGTGGAGGGAGGGGGGAGTAGCTGAACGAATGCAAACCTGCATGGCCTGTTGAGGAGGAGGGGCCATGGGTGCAGCATTGGCAGCGTTGTGGGAGTCTCTGGTGTCTAACTCTATCTTGTGCTGCGTCTGCAAGTGGGGCATGGGTATCAGCATGGCAGCGGGGATTTTCGGGGGTGCATCAGAAAGGGTTTCTGGTATCCAGCTCTCAGAGAGAGTGAGGGTGACAGAAAGAGCAACAGAAAGCAGATAGCAGCTAACAGAGCGCGATCCAAGGAATCGAGTTTCCTGACATTAACGGCTGACCTGTGGCTAGCGTGTGTGGGGGAATGGTGCAAGAGGTGGGTGGAGAAGGGAGTGCGGAAAGGTGAGGGTGGACGGGTAGGGTTTACCTGCATGCATGCGCACACACTGGCCAGATAGGTAGGAAGCGGGGCGCGCAGTGGGTAGGCAGGGACGAAGGGGGTCGGGGGATGGGAAGACAGACAACAGGGGGAGCGAGCAGATGATGAGTGGATAGGATTTTTGGATGAGCACATAGGTGGGGGGGAGGAGGGGGGAAGGGGGGGGGGGGGGCGGGGGGGGGAGCGGGGGGGGTTCAAAGGTACAGAATGGAGAAAGATGTGAGGAAGAGCTGAAGAAGTGACACCCGGATAGGGAGAACATGCAAATGAGGCAAGCGTACGAGCAAAGAGCAAGTGAGCACGCAAGAATCACGCGGTATGCATGTGTGAGAGGTTGCTGCAGCAGATACAGGCCCAGGGACACTAGAATGGAATGGGGCAGCGGGATGTTGGAAAGCAGTTGAAAGAGGGACAGGCCAGTGGGGGACGTACGAGCAGTAGACAACATCTGCCATGCAGCGCAGAGCATGCGCGGCATCGTGGAGGCTGTCGCTCTGCAGGATGCAGGCGAGGATGGCAAAGATGCACGCGAGCTGCTCCAGACACACCAGGAACGCCTGTTGGGGCGGCAAGGGGGATGGGGGAGAAGAGGGGTGGCGGAGGGAGCAGGACAGCAGACGGGGATGGACATGAGACGAGCAGGGCAGGGCAGGGCAGCGAGCGTACCAGGATGTTGATTCGGTCTATCTCCGAGGGGACGGGACGCAAAAACAGAGAGGCACAGAGTATAGCAGGGTAGGGCAGAGCAGAGCGGAGCAGAGCAGGGCAGAGCAGGGCAGGGCAGAGCAGAGCAGAGCAGAGCAGGGCAGGGCAGAGCAGAGCAGAGCAGGGCAGGGCAGAGCAGAGCAGAGCACAGCAGGGCAGGACAGGGCAGGACAGAGCAGAGCAGGGCAGAGCAGAGCAGAGCAGAGCAGAGCAGAGCAGAGCACAGCAGGGCAGAGCAGAGCAGAGCAGGGCAGGGCAGAGCAGAGCAGAGCACAGCAGGGCAGGACAGGGCAGGACAGAGCAGAGCAGGGCAGAGCAGAGCAGAGCAGAGCAGAGCAGAGCAAGACAGAGCAGAGCAGGGCAGGGCAGAGCAGAGCAGGGCAGGGCAGGGCAGGGCAGGGCAGGGCAGGGCAGGGCAGGGCAGGGCAGGGCAGGGCAGGGCAGGGCAGGGCAGGGCAGGGCAGGGCAGGGCAGGGCAGGGCAGGGCAGGGCAGGGCAGGGCAGGGCAGGGCAGGGCAGGGCAGGGCAGGGCAGAGCAGGGCAGGGCAGGGCAGGGCAGGGCAGGGCAGGGCAGAGCAGGGAAGGGGAGGTCATGGCATGGCAGCGCGCATACCAGGATGACAATATCGCACTTGCTGTTCATGATGTTGAGCTGGCCTCTCTCCGAGGTGACGCAAAAAATCTCTCTATAAGGCGCCAGAGAAGCGCAGAGCAGGGCAGGGCAGGGCAGAAGAGAGCAGCGAACGTACCAGGATACCGTTGTCGCACTTGCTGTTCATGATATTGAGCTGGTCCTGGATGAGGAAGCGCGTGGAGGCGACGGACGAGGGGAAGCACAGGCACACCTCCATGCCCAGGCAGAACTTGGGACACTTGGACTCCCCGCAGTGCCCGCTGCACGGCAGGAAACCCCCGCAGCACTGGTACCTGGTGCGCGCGGGAGAGGGGGGGAGAGGGGGGGAGAGGGGGGAGCGGGGTGTGGGAGTACGGGGATGAGGGTGAGATAGGGGGAGTGGTGGGGTGGAAGAGGCAGGATAGAGTGTTATGAGTCGGAGGGAGGGGTCTCAGCGAGGGGGGAAGAGAGGGGAAGGAGGAAAGAGAGGGAGAGAACGTGGAGGTACGAGCGGCTCTTTTCTAGGTGCCTGGCGCGATACAAACAGCCCCGTTTAACGGAATTTGGTTCCTGGGTGAAGTATCAAGTGTGAAGTGCGCAAAGCAGGTTGGGAGAATTGGCAGGAGAAGGAGGGTGGAAGCTAGAGAGAGAGAGAGGTGAGGCTCCGAGCGAGGGAGGGAGGCAGCGAGGGATGGAAGGAGCGAGGAACGGAAGAAGCGGGGCAGGGAAGGAGCGAGGCGATGGGAGAAGACAGGAGGAGCGTATTGAAGCGCGCAAGTGCAGGGACGGTCGGGGCGTACCTCGACATGTCGCCATAGAGCACGCGGTCACGCAAGTAATACGACGCGCAAGGGGAGCTGGCGGAAACGGAGGGGAAGGGGGGGTTGGGGGGGAGGCGCGGCGGAAAGGGAGCGGGGATTGCCAGTGAGACAAGATGAGATAACAGGTCAGAAATACAAGATCAAGAGAGATAAGACAGGCGGAAATGATCAAGAGAGAGGAACGGCGGACACGAAATGCGGAAATTGAAGGGGAAAAGCGGTTCTTTTGGTGCGAGAATGAGCGGCGAGGGAATTAATGGCGTCTATGAACGCGAGACGGGGGCATGGATGAGGCTCGTACCACCAAGTGGCGATGCAGCAGACTGAAGACCGCCGCGACAGTTGCAAAATTTACGGCAGAGACGCGACAAATTGCGAAAGTCAGTGACAGCAAGGGCCAGGGAACAGCGAAGCATTATGGTGGTTAGTTGACAGAAAGAGAGCTGGGAGCAAGCTTTATTTTTCTCTTCCAAGATGTCTTGTGTGCAAAACAAGTTTGTGAAGTGATGAGGATACGATCGAACATTGAATGAGCAGACGAGGAAGTTGGAAAAGCACGTCACGCGTGTCGCAGAAAGGCTTGATATAGGAGCGACGCACGTGTTAAGAAAGGAGCTTCAAGAATACCAAAGAAATACGAGAAACAGGAAGAAGCAGGAAAACGGAAAGAACAAAATACAGAAACTGGTGCGATTAGTTTCCAGATGGTACGCACATGGAAGCTCCTTCGCGGGCGCCTGCCACATTTCGATTTGCCAGTTGTTGCGGAAGGCCTTACGACCTTCCATCGCCTGAGGGTTATACATCTTGGCGGCGGTTGCGGGAAACTGGTTCCTTGCTCTGCGGTACTCCCCGACGCTCACTCAGCACAGAGTGAACGGTCTGCGCGGAAGGCGAGGAAGATGTTGGGTTGAAAGTGAAGTGCAATAGCTAAGGTGTTGGTGATGGTGTTGTATAACTATGATGAATGAGTTGTTTTTGGTGATGTACGGTGTTGTATAACCTTGGGAGTTGCCCAGGGATGGGTTGAGAGGGAGTTGCTCAGGCAAGAGTCGAACCGGCCGCCTTGCCTGCTCTCTCGAGATTACCGACCGAGCCAGCAACCTGCGTGGTGTCCCTTCCCGCCAAACTCAGATGTGCGGAAGGGATTTGGCCGGGGGTTTGAGAGGAGGCGGGGGATGGAGGGGGACGGCGGGGGGAGTCAGGGAGTGTGGGGGTGCTGGGGGTTCGTGATTCGTGATTCGTGAAAAAAACGCGGGAAGGGGAAACTGGTGTTGTCGCCGGTCCAGCTTTCCGAACGAGACACTTCCCCCGGATGTAGCGGGTGTTCCGCGGACACAGTTGGCGGACAGTTTGACATTTGCTAGGAGAAAGGGAGGACTTGGGGAAGAGAATGGCGGCGCCAGGAGCACAATTTTGGGATTCGGGAAACAGCTGATTCGTCAGTCCATTGTGACGTGTGGTTTGGAAACATCGGAAGTAAACGAACGAACATGAAGGCGGTAACCCTTCCTTTGATAGCCAATCTGGAAACTACACGAGGCAGAATATTTATCGTCGGATTGATTTGATGGTGGTGCTGCACGGCTCTCAGCCGTGCATCTGTGGCCCCAGCTGGCTTTGTGCTGGCTTGTGTGATGCAGTTCGTCCTTTCAGGAGAATGAAAGAACCAGTTATCATTTCCCAGTTGGCAGTACTGTAACAATACCTCCCTGACGGATCGTGTGTTCATCACAAACTTCAAATTTAACGTGCTGCTATCGTGTATCCAGTTTCCAATAACGAGTAATCACTCAATATGTCCTCCAGCCAAACTGCGAACAGCTTCGAGAGTCGTGATTCGTGGGTCACGATTTGAGCTTGCCTGCCATGTCGCACGGCTGGTTTTACGAAATGTGATGTGGTTCGCACGGACTCTGACGATGTGGTAACACGTGGTGGCGCCAGGAGGGATCGCACGAAAGTAGTGTTTTAGGGCAGGTCATACTTTCTTGTTCTGGGATCGTTTGACGTGGTTGCAAACGGTCAACTACGTTTGGGTACGGTTATTGACTTTCACCGCTTTAGACCATTGCGGACCAGGATGAACCATTTAAAACGAACCTGGCACAAAAAAGTATGACCCGCCCTAAGAGCGGCAACCGACACAAATCCCCGATGATGTCGCCAGTAAACTTCCAACTTATGGCAGCAGCTCAAGGTCGAGGCAAAAATAATCCTAAGCCAGGCTTATCTACAACGGTGACTAATCGTCGATCCGTTCTATGCTCACTCAAACTGGCAATAACCTACTTTGTCAAGAGCAGCCGTTCAGCTGGCAACCCGCCATTCGTCCCACCGCCCGTCGGCGGCGCAAAGGGCGGCGTCTCCCATTGCGACCCTGAGAGAAACCCTCACCCTGCCCTTGTCGCTGCAACTGCCGGAATCTCTTCCCCAGCTACCCCCCCTCCCGCAGCTACCGCCCTTCCCGCACTTACCGCCCCTTCCGCAGTTACCGCCCCTTCCGCCGCTTCATCTCCCGCATCTTCCCCGCAACCTCCAGGAATGGCGCGACAACTTCCAATGGCCCCCCGCCGGCTGGGACTGGGCGGAGCTCCGCCGCATGCTCGCCTCCGCGCTGCACGCGGAAGGCTCCGCGGCCGGCCCGCTTGCCGCATGGGCGGCGGCGGCGGCGGCGGCAGGTCTAGACTTGAACGCATGGGGCCTGCTAGGATTGCTGGAAGATGGCGCGGGGGAGGGTGAGGGGGGGCGGCGCGCGCAAGGGGAGGGGGACGCGGTAGATCGGCGCTTGGCGGCGTTTCGTCCCCACGAGAACCCGCTTCTTCGCGACGCGCTGCTGAAGCAGATGCGCGTAGTAGCCGCCGCACGATCCGCTGGCACGCCGATAGCTGGAGCTGATGCAACCGTTGATATTTGCATTAGTGAGTTTGAAGGCGTGCACTATCGCGTACAGGTGGAAGAGACGGATCCGGGCACGCTCCTTTTATCCATAGCGATCCCGCAGGCAGGTCCCGAGGTGATGACCAGCGCGGGACTGCCACGTGGCGCAATCGAGGCCGTTCACCTCGGGTACTGGCAGATCGCGACCGTTCTGCCGACGCCAGAGCCCGGATATAATCTCACGCTAGTAGTTAATCTCGCGCGTCTCCCGGACCGCGATTCCGCCCAGAGAGTCATTGCCTGCAAGCTCGCCCGCCTGCGCTCGTTCGTTATGGGCGCGCCTCTGCGCGCTGCGCTGCTTCCGCTCCGCGCGGGCGGAGTGATAGGTGTCGGCGGAGCAGCGGGCGGAAGCGATCTGGGGGAAGCTGTGGCGCGCGGATTAGGGGGCGCGGGGGGGGAGTCGTGGGGAGGCGCGGGGATGCTGACGAGTGTGGTGCACCGGAAGGGGCGGGTGATGTTCGTGGTGTCGCGCGGGGCGAGTGTGACTATAGTGATTCCGATGCGCTTTAAGGACATGAATGATGCTGTCATCGCGACTCAGTTCCTGCTGGTATGATGTTGGCATGGCGGGCAAATGGCGGATGACACATTGTCGAGAGGGCGCATGGCGCATGGCGCATGGGGCATAGCAAGGGGTGCTTGCAAGGGGTGCTTGCAAGGGTCGTGCACACGCACATACAGCGCGCGTTTGAGACTCTGGAGCCATTCCCCCTAGAGCAGCAACAACGATACACATTGACCTCGCCAATCCCCCCCACATACACTCCACACACCCTCCACACACCTTTAGGTCGTCACAGTTCCTTTATTTCTCTCGCCAAACACCTAACGTCCCCTACCCCGCACCCCTCTCTCCTCCACCTCCCTTCCCCCTCCCCTTCCGCCTCCCCCTCCCCGTTCCGCCTCAATTCCCGCCCGCGCACCCATCCTCCGCGTCCCCTTCTCCCAGGAGCTCGAGGCCACGCGGCGCGAGGCGGACGCGGCGGCCAGGAGGGCCGCCGCCGCCGCCGCAGCCTACGCCGCAGCCACTCTGGAAGCCGCCAAGGCGCACGCGCAGGCGCTCCTCGACCCGCGTGCGCCTCCGCCCCCGCCCCCGCCCCCTCCGCCCCCCCAAGACCCGCTCGCCCCCTTAGCATCCACGCCAGCATTCTCCTTCTCGTATGTTTGTCCTGAGGAGGTGCGGGAGGCGCCTATTCAGTACCGGTCTGCGAATGCTGGGTTTGCGTGCTTCCACGTGGGGAGGCGGCACTTGGAGGGGGGAAGCGGGGGAGGGGGCGGAGGAGGCGGGGGGGAAGGCGGAGAAGCGGGGTGGCGGTGGGAGCGCGTGGTGTGGGGGCTGGAGAGCTTTCACGGGGTGGTGGCGAACCATGTGCGGTGGAGCAAGGTGTCCATGCGCAGACGCATGCGCGCCTGGGAAGAGCGCCTGCACCAGGTGCGCTGGGGGAGTGGGAGGGGAGAGGGGGAGAAGAAGGGCAGGGGTGTGGGGCTGGTAGGGAAAAGGGATGGATGCGCGCCTGGGAAGAGCGCCTGCACCAGGTGCGCTGGGGGAATGGGAGGAGAGAGGGGGAGAATGGGCGGGGTGGAGGGACAGTGTGGAACATAGGCTATGGGAGAATGTGGAACTTAGGATGGTTCTTTAGGGGAAGTGCGTGGGAGGAACGGGGAGTGCAAGAGATCGCATGGGAGGAGATTGTTTAAAACCCTAATTAGAAGACCCGCAATTATCTTTGAACATACTCATTCTTTCCCCCTATTTCCAACCCCATTTTTTCCCCTTTCCTCCACCTGCCCTATTTTTGCTTCCCCTCTTTCCTCCCCCCGGCTTCTCCAGCGTCTTCCCCAACCCCCCCTGCCTGTGATGCGCCACTCCCCCCACAAGGAGTCCCCCTCGCTCCCCCTTCCGCTGCTGGCTTGCGCGGATGATGAGGAGGAGGCGGAGGAGGAAGTGTGGGGGGAAGGGGGAGCGGATGGGGGGATTCATGGGGCGGAGGCAGCAGCATTGGCTGAGGAAGTGGCAGGGATGATGCGGGGAGGAGGGGAGGAAGGGGGAAGGGGGGAAGGGTCGAGAGGGGGGCGGAGAAAGGGGAGGAGTGGGGGGAAGGAAGGGGGGGATGGGATGGGGAGTGGGAAGGAAAGGAGGTTGAGAAGGAAAGGATTAGAGGCAGGTAGGGAGGGAAGGAGGAGGGGGATAATGGAGGGATATGGGATGGGGGGGGATAGGGAAGGGCCAAAAAGACAGAAATCAAGTGTGGGGAGGAATGAGAAGGAGAAAGGGAAGGAGAAACAGAAGGAGAAGGAGAAGGAAGGAGGTAGGAGCAAAAAGAAACTTCTGAAGGGGAAGAGTGGGAAGATGGGGAAAGGGTTGACAGGGGATGTGGGTGGGAAGAGTGGGAAGGAGAGGAAGGGGAGGGATGGAGATCCATGGATGGCAGAGGAGCCTGATGGTGAGGTGGAGCAGGATTGGTTGGGGATGGGTGATGCCATTCCAGCTGATTTTTATTCCCCTGCTGCTGATGCCCCTGATGGTGCTGATGGTGCTGCTGCTGATGCTAGAATGTCAGAAGCTGATGCTGATGCTGATGCGAGGGATGCAGATGATGGGAAGGGGACGGGAGGGCATGAGTTGAAGGCTGGTGGACTGAGGGAGACGAAGGGAGGTGAGGAGGTCCAGGAAGGGAGAAAAGAGGATGAGAAGGAAATGGAGGGAGAGGAGGTGAGGGAAAAGGAAGGAGAGGAGGTGAATGAATCAGGAGGTGAGGAGGAAAAGGAAAAGGGAGGAGAGGAGGTGAAGGAAAAGGAAGGAGAGGAGAAGGAGAAGGGAGGAGAGGAAGAGAAGGAAAAGGGAGGAGAGGAGGAGAAGAAAAAGGGAGGAGAGGAGGAGCTGGAGAAGGGAGGAGAGAAGGTGAAGGAAAAGGAAGGAGAGGAGGTGAAGGAAAAGGAAGGAGAGGAGGTGAAGGAAAAGGAAGGAGAGGAGGTGAAGGAAAAGGAAGGAGAGGAGGTGAAGGAAACGGGAGGAGAGGAGGAGAAGGAAAAGGGAGGAGAGGAGGACAAGGAAAAGGGAGGAGAGGAGGAGAAGGAGAAGGGAGGAGAGCAGATGAAGGAAAAGGAAGGAGAGGAGGTGAAGGAAAAGGAAGGAGAGGACGAGAAGGAAAAGAGAGGAGAGGAGGACAAGGAAAAGGAAGGAGAGGAGGTGAAGGAAAAGGAAGGAGAGGAGGACATGGAAAAGGGAGGAGAGGAGGAGAAAGAGAAGGGAGGAGAGGAGGTGAAGGAAAAGGAAGGAGAGGAGGTGAAGGCAAAGGAAGGAGAGGAGGTGAAGGAAAAGGAAGGAGAGGAGGAGGAAGAAAAGAGAGGAGAGGAGGACAAGGAAAAGGAAGGAGAGGAGGTGAAGGAAAAGGAAGGAGAGGAGGTGAAGGAAAAGGAAGGAGAGGAGGAGGAAGAAAAGAGAGGAGAGGAGGACAAGGAAAAGGAAGGAGAGGAGGTGAAGGAAAAGGAAGGAGAGGAGGTGAAAGAGAAGGAAGGAGAGGAGGGGAAGGAAACAGGAGGAGAGGAAGAGAAGAAGAAGGGAGGAGAAGAGGAGAAGGAAAAGAGAGGAGAGGAGGTGAAGGAAAAGGGAGGAGAGGAGGTGAAGGAAAAGGGGGGAGAGGAGGTGAAGGAAAAGGAAGGAGAGGAGGAGAAGGAAAAGAGAGGAGAGGACGTGAAAGAGAAGGAAGGAGAGGAGGGGAAGGAAACAGGAGGAGAGGAAGAGAAGGAGAAGGGAGGAGAAGAGGAGAAGGAAAAGGGAGGAGAGGAGCACAACAAAAAGGGAGGAGAGGAGGTGAAGGAAAAGGGAGGAGAGGAGGTGAAGGAAAAGGGAGGAGAAGAGGTGAAGGAAAAGGGAGGAGAGGAGGACAAGGTAAAGGGAGGAGAAGAGGAGAAGGAAAAGAGAGGAGAGGAGGACAAGGAGAAGGGAGGAGAGAAGGTGAAGGAAAAGGAAGGAGAGGAGGTGAAGGAAAAGGGGGGAGAGGAGGTGAAAGAGAAGGAAGGAGAGGAGGGGAAGGAAACAGGAGGAGAGGAAGATAAGGAGAAGGGAGGAGAAGAGGAGAAGGAAAAGAGAGGAGAGGAGCACAACAATAAGGGAGGAGAGGAGGTGAAGGAAAAGGGTGGAGAGGAGGTTAAGGAAAAGGGAGGAGAAGAGGTGAAGGAAAAGGGAGGAGAGGAGGT